TTGAAAAGAGTGTGTTTCTTGGTTGGACAATGGTGAAGGCCAGGGCTGTGGATAAGGGGGTACCACCAGTCCTCCTGTACGGGGCCCAATCAGCTGGGTGAACTGGGTGTGGACAGGAAGGGTGAACGGCACAGCAGGCGGGCAATTACTGGAATCAATCACTTGTATGGCTGTCTCTGTAGCAGCTGAAAGTTGGATTATTCTCCTCTCCCTCCTGCTGACTTTCAGCCGTTGCAGTGAGACCCATACAGGTGATCAGTTTTAGTAATTGCCCCCTTGCCGCACCCATCACCCTCATTGTGCGCCATATGTTTTCCCCTTCTGCCCAGGCCCCCCTGAGTGTCCCTACCCCCGCTGTGCTGCCTGTTTCCCACAAGCACACAATGGGATACTTCAGGATGTAGAGTGGAGGAAGGGTCCAGTAAATATGTTGCATTTACCAGCCCCTTCCTTTTCTGAATGAACACAACTAGTGATCGGTACCAATCACTCACTGTGTTCATTCATAACTGAAGCACCATAAACTGTGTTTTTTTGTGTGGGGGGGGGGGGGGGCTGTCAAGTTGGCTGTATGGGGCCCCGTGGTTTCTAACAGCAGCGCTGGTGAAGACCTTAGAATTGCAGGGCTTTTCAAAGGTGACAGTGTGGAAATTGTATAACAAATAGAGCTGAATACAGAACTCTTCATCAGACTGACCACTGTGGGGACAAAGCCCGTGGTAGATGAACATGGGAGATGCTTAGCTGCTCAGCCAGTTTGCATGCAGATTGCATGCTGGGCCTCTGTAAGCAATAAATATGCATTTCTGGAAAACCAGATGGAAGCCAAAGTGAAAAAAGTTGCAGGCTGTAGTTTGCTAAACCACCATACAGCGATTCAGAGATGGAGCAGGAACTAGTGAATGCAATGGTAATGGTTCCTCACTGTTTCTGGTTTCTTACCAAACTGGAGGAGTAGAAATGGGTCCTACCACCTAGACAATGGATTACCCTTGTAGTTCCTGCTATGAATAATGAGGGGCAAGGTTCCACTGTGGTGCTGAATGAGGGTTTATATTTGTCCTGATCTCCAGGTGTGCAGGGTATTCATTTTATAGTATATAGTATGACATATATGATAAATGGTTACTGTTACATTATTTGTGTCTCTTTCTTTGTATTTTGGTGGCACCGTTTTAAACATTCCTTGAAATCCTTACATACTGTTGTTTTTCCGATGCAGATATATGCAATAACATATACCCCCCTAGACCTTGTCTGTAAGGACAGCATGGCCACTTCTTGACTTTTCAAAATCTACAGGCAGCTTTAAAGTGGAGTTCCACTCACGCTGTCAACAAATAAAAGTCAGCAGCTACAAAAACTGCAGCTCGTTTCACCGGCCATCCTGTATTCCAGGAGGCCGGCATCTTCAGTGTGGGCACCCGGCTGTGATAGCTTGCAGCTTCACAGTTGGGTGCCCACTGCACATGCGCGAGTAGCGCTGCGCTTCATGAATGGTCCTGTAGTCCTCTGGGACCTGTCAAGTGTCCAAAAAGACTACAGGGAGGGAGGGAGGACACTATCCGTTTCTGATCGCCTAGACCAGTGGTGGGCAACATTTTTTTTCAACTGAGCCAAATCTCGCCAAAACCACGATTGAAATTTATTTTGAGAGCCACATTCTTAAAACTGAAAATACATAGGATGGTACACTGTTTTTAGTTTCAATAAGTTTTTATAGTAATTCATCCCCCATAGTAATTCATCCCCCATATAGTAATTCATCCCCCATATAGTAATTCATCCCCCATATAGTAATTCATCCCCCATATAGTAATTCATCCCCCATATAGTAATTCATCCCCCATAGTAATTCATCCCCCATATAGTAATTCATCCCCCATATAGTAATTCATCCCCCATAGTAATTCATCCCCCATAGTAATTCATCTCCCATATAGTAATTCATCCCCCATATAGTAATTAATCCCCCATATAGTAATTCATCCCCCATATAGTAATTCATCCCCCATATAGTAATTCATCCCCCATAGTAATTCATCCCCCTATAGTAATTCATCCCCCGTATAGTAATTCATCCCCCATAGTAATTCATCCCCCATATAGTAATTCATCCCCCCATAGTAATTCATCCCCCGTATAGTAATTCATCTCCCATATAGTAATTCATCCCCCATATAGTAATTCATCCCCCATAATAATTCATCCCCCGTATAGTAATTCATCCCCCATAGTAATTCATCCTCCGTATAGTAATTCATCCCCCGTATAGTAATTCATCCCCCATAGTAATTCATCCCCCCTATAGTAATTCATCCCCCGTATAGTAATTCATCCCCCATATAGTAATTCATCCCCCCTATACTCGCCTAGGCCAGTGGTGGGCAACATTTTTTTTCAACTGAGCCAAATCTCGCCAAAACCACGACTGAAATTTATTTTGAGAGCCACATTCTTAAAACTGAAAATACATAGGATGGTACACTGTTTTTAGTTTCAATAAGTTTTTATAGTAATTCATCCCCCATAGTAATTCATCCCCCATATAGTAATTCATCCCCCATAGTAATTCATCCCCCATAGTAATTCATCCCCCATAGTAATTCATCCCCCATATAGTAATTCATCCCCCATATAGTAATTCATCCCCCATATAGTAATTCATCCCCCATATAGTAATTCATCCCCCATATAGTAATTCATCCCCCATATAGTAATTCATCCCCCATATAGTAATTAATCCCCCATATAGTAATTCATCCCCCATATAGTAATTCATCCCCCATATAGTAATTCATCCCCCATAGTAATTCATCCCCCCTATAGTAATTCATCCCCCGTATAGTAATTCATCCCCCATAGTAATTCATCCCCCATAGTAATTCATCCCCCATATAGTAATTCATCCCCCATAGTAATTCATCCCCCGTATAGTAATTCATCCCCTATATAGTAATTCATCCCCCCTATAGTAATTCATCCCCCCTATAGTAATTCATCCCCTATAGTAATTCATCCCCCATAGTAATTCATCCCCCATATTAATTCATCCCTCATATAGTAGTAGTAAGTAAGTAGCAAGTAGTAAGCCAAGTCCCCCCTGTGTCAATTCACTTACCTTTGCTCCGCGCGTTCCTCTCGCCGTGTTCCCGCGCCGTTCCAGTCTTCAGGGCGGACTGTGAGAGGAGCCTACCTCCTCTCACGTTCGTCACGCTGCCCCGCCTACACACATCCTGACAGCCAATCACTGGCTATCAGGATGTGAGTGGCAGCGAGACTGACCAATCATTGCATTTGAGCGCGCTGCTCTGGCTGTTTTTTTTTTTTGGATCACGCTGCAGAGTCCCTGCCGCCCGAGAGGAGGGAGGGGAGCGGGCGCCCGGCACACAAGAGCCGCATTAAAGCGTGTAAAGAGCCGCATGTGGCTCGCGAGCCGCGGCTTGCCGACCACTGGCCTAGGCGATCGGACCAGAAGTGGGAATGGGTACCTGTCAAATTCGGGTACCTGCTCCCCCCCTGCCCCCCAAAGGTGCCAATCCTTAATGGGGAGCGGGGGAGCAGTCCTTAAAGTGGAACTTCCCCTTTTGGATGGAGCTCCGCTTTAAGGTAGCCATAGACATTAAGATTTCAATTGTTCAGCCTGAACAAGAGAAACGCAATAGATTTAACTTTGCATGGAAGACGGAGTCTGCACTACTGGCTATCGTATTCAAGCAGCTGCAGGTGCAGGAATATCTGAACTTGACTGCAGCCACTCTTCAGGTGATCATTTTTCATCAGATTCAATTTTCCATACAACTTTTGTCTTGGCAGGTGGGGGCCAACAAAGCCACCCACTTCTCGAATTCCTGTTTGAATCGACTGAAATTTGAGCCATGCATGGCTAACTTAAAGAATATATAAACCCAACTTTTCATATTCCTGATGTGTCCTGATTGCATCCTTTGTGTGAAATCATTGATGTTCCTGCCAGTCCCTCTGCTTTCCACATTAAAACTGACACTAGGCATGGGAGCACCAACATACACTATATTTCCAAAAGTATTGGGGCGCCTGCCTTTACACGTACATGAACTTTAATGTCATCCCAGCCTTAGTCCGTAGGGTTCAATATTGAGTTGGCCCCGCTCTTTGCAGCTATAACAGCTTCATCTCTTCTTGGAAGGCTGTCTACAAGGTTTAGGAGGGCGTCTATGGGAAGGTTTGACCATTCTTCCAGAAGCGCATTTGTGAAGTCAAGCACTGATGTAGGACGAAAAGGCCCGGATCCCAGTTTCCACTCATCCCAAAGGTGTTCTATGGGGTTGAGGTCAGGACTCTGTGCAGGCCAGTCAAGTTCCTCCACCCCAAACTCATTCATCCATGTCTTTATGGACCTTGCTTTGTGCACTGGTGCGCAGTCATGTTGGAACAGGAAAGGGCCATCCCCAATCTCTTCCCACAAAGTTGGGAGCATGAAATTGTCCAAAATGTCTTGGTATGCTGACTCCTTAAGAGTTCACTTCACTGAAAATAAAGGGCCAAGCCTAACCCCTGAAAAACAACCCCACACCATAATCCCCCCTCCACCAAACTTTGCACTTGGCACAATGTAGTCAGGTAAGTACTGTTTTCCTGGCAACCGCCAAACCCAGACACGTCCATCGGATTGCCAGACAGAGAAACGTGATTCGTCAGTCCAGGGAACACGTCTCCACTGCTCTAGAGTCCAGTGGCGGTGTGCTTTACACCACTGTATCCGACGGTTTGCATTGCAGGCTTGGATGCAGCTGCTCGGTCAAGGAAACCCATTCCATGAAGCTCTCTACACACTGTTGTTGTGCTAATGTGAAGGTCACACCAAGTTTGGTCTTTAGCTATTGACTGTGCAGACAGTTGGTGACTTCTGCGCACTGTGCGCTTCAGCATGTGCTGACCCTTCTCTGTCATGTGACGTGGCCTACCACTTCTTGGCTGAGTTGCTGTTGTTTCCAGTTGCTTCCACTTTGTTATAATACCAGTAACAGTTGACCGTGGAATATTTAGTAGCAAGAAAATGCTCCTGAGAGCGACCCATTCTTTCACAAATGTTTGTAGAAGCAGTCTGCATGCCTAGATGCTTGATTTTATACACCTGTGGCCATGGAGTGATTGGAACACCTGAATCCAATGATTTGGAGGGCTGGCACAATACTTTTGGCAATATAGTGTAGTTTTACATTGATAAGTGCAACTACATTGTGTAGCAGAGTAAATAGGGAGTGTCTAGCTATGAACTATACTACCTAGAGATAATAACAAAGAGAAGGAATCAGATGCAATCTCAACTTCAGTCAGAGGAAGCCTTGTGTTCATTGATATAAAAAAAATATACAGTTAGGTCAATATATATTTGGACAAAGGCACAATTTCAGTTTTTTTTTCTGGTATTTACCTTGAAATTTGAGGGTATGTACATCCAAATTGGAGAAAGTGTTTAGGAATTACAGCTCTTAAGAGTAGCAACCCCCCCCTTTTACAAGGGACCAAAAGTAATTGGACAATTGAATCAAAAGCTGTTTCATGGCCAGGTGTGGGCTACATCCTTCATTATTTCTTCATCAATTAAGCAGGTAAAAGGTCAACTACTCTGGAGTTGAATCTAAGTGTGGTAGGGCATTTGGAATCTATTGCTGTGAACCTACATCAAGCGTTCAAAGGAGCTGTCCATGTGTGAAACAGGCCATTGTATTCAAAAAAAAAACAAATCCATCAAAGAGATACAGCAACATTAGTGTCCAAATCAACAGTTTATTTGAGGAAAGGCAGTTCAGCAATTAAAAAGTCATGGACGTCCACGGAGACAACAGTGGTGGATGATTGCAGGATCTCTCTCTATGGTAAAGACACAAACCCATTACAACATCCGAAAGTGAAGCACACACTGGAGGGTATCATTGTCACAGTCTACAATCAAGAGATTCACGGAGCAGAAAGTGGGTTTAGGTTGCAAACCATTCATACAAGAATAGAAAAGCTTAGACTTTGCCAGAGTAGCAAAAAAGCCAGACCAGTTCTGGAAAAGCATTCTTTGGACGGATGAAACTAAGGGATTAATCTGTACCAAATGACAGTAAGGAAAATTGGAGAAGGCTTGGAACAGATCATGATCAAAGCACGCAGTCTCTGTAAAAACGTGGTGGCCAGTGTGTGGGCATGCATCCAGTGGCACTGGGTCATTGGTTTTTCATCATGATTGACAGAAGGACAGAAGCAGTATGAATTCTGCAGTGTTTAGAGAGCTATACTTAAGATTCAGCCAAATGCAGCAAAGTTTGATTGGACGGCGCTTTCACATACAGATGGATAATGATCCAAACACACTGCAAAAACAACCCAGGAGCTTTTGAAGGAAAAGAAGTGTTATATTCAATGCAAATGGCCGAGTCAATCACCTGATCTCAACCCCATTGAGCATGCATTTCACTTGCTGAAGGCAAAAACTAAGGGCAGAAAGACCCACAAAAAAGAACTGAAGACAGCTGCAGTTAGAGCCTGGCAAAGCATCAGAAAGGAGGAAAACCCAGTCTTTGGTAATGTCCATGGGTTCCAAGACTTCAGGCAGTCATTGCTAGTAAAATGAAACAAAACAAAAGATAAACATTTACATTTTATTTTATGATTATATTCAATTGTCAAATACTTTTGTCCCAAAAAAAGGGGGGGGATTGGTACTGTTCTTAAGAGCTGTAATTCCTAAACCCTTCCTCAAGGAACACCCTCAAATTAAACCGAGTGTGTTTCAGCCCAACCATAATATACAGTCATGGCCGAAATTGTTGGCCCCTTGATATTTCTCCAGGAAGACAACATGTATTTCTCACGAAACGTATTGATTAACACATGTTTTGCTATACACATGTTTATTCCTTTGTGTGTATTGGGACAAAACAAAAAAAGGGAGGAAAGAAAGCAAATTCGACATAATGTCACACAAACTCCAAAAATGGGGCTGGACAAAAGTATTGGCCCTTTCACAACTGCGGATAAATAAGAATTGTTACAAAGCATGTGATGCTCCTGTTAAACTCACCTGGGGAAGTAACAGGTGTGGGCAACAGAAAATTCACAACATCCCAGCATGTGCTGACCCTTCTCTGGTGACGTGGCCTACCACTTCTTGGCTGAGTTGCTGTTGTTTCCATTGCTTCAATAATACCAGTAACAGTTGACCGTGGAATATTTAGTAGCAGAAAATGCTCCTGAGAGCGTTCACATTCTTTCACAAATGTTTGTGTAGAAGCAGTCTGCACACTGCCTATGATGCTTGATTTTATACACCTGTGGCCATGGAGTGATTGGAACACCTGAATCCAATGTTGGAGGGCTGGCACAATACCAATATAGTGTGTGTTTTACATTTGATAAGTGCAACTACATTGTGTAGCAGTCCATCTCAGTAAATAGGGAGTGTCTAGCTATGAACTATTACTACCTAGAGATAATAACAAAGAGAAGGAATCAGATGCAATCTCAACTTCAGTCAATCAGAGAAGCCTTGTGTTCATTGATATAAAAAGCATCTACAGTTAGGACGGATGAATTTGGACAAAGAATTTCAGTTTTTTTTCTGGTATTTACCTTGAAATTTGAGGGTATGTACATCCAAATTGGAGAAAGTGTTTAGGAATTACAGCTCTTAAGAGTAGCAACTATTTTACAAGGGACAAAAAGTAATTGGAAATTGAAATCAAAAGCTGGATGGCCAGGTGTGGGCTACCCTTCATTATTTCATCAATGAAGCAGGTAAAAGCAAGCTTATTTTAAGTGTGGTATTTGCATTTGGAATCTATTGCTGTGAACTACATAAGCGTTCAAAGGTGCTGTCCATGCAAGTGAAACAGGCCATTGTGGCAAAAATGAAACAAATCCATCAAAGAGCTTTTTCAGTAACATTAGGAGTGTCCACTCAACAGTTTGGTACATTGAGCAAAGAAGAACACACCGGAATGAGTTCAGCAACATAAACAAAATGGACAGTCCACGGAAGACAACTATGGTGGATGATCGCAGGTTTCCTCTCTATGGTAAAGTTTGCCCATTCACAACATGGCACAAGTGAAGCACACTTCCAGAGGTGGGCATATCATTGTCAAAGTCTACAATCAAGAGAAGATTAGAGCAAAGAGGGTTCACCACTAGGTGCAAACCATTCATAAGCCTGAAGAATGGGTTTGCCCAAGATTAGACTTTGCCAAAAAGCATCTAAAAAAGCAGACCAGTTCTGGAAAAAGCATTCTCAGAAATGGACGGAAAAACTAGAGTTCTAATCTGCCAGAATGACAGGAAGGAAAAATGTGGAGAGGCTTTGGAACAGATCATGATCCAAAGACGCAATGTCATCTGTAATAAACGTGGGGTGGCAGTGTGATGGCAATGCATGGTTCCAGTCACTGGGTCATTGGTGTTTAATGATGATGTGACAGAAGACTGTTGAAGCAGTCGGATGAATTCTGCAGTGTTTAGAGATATACTGTCAGCCCAGATTCAGGCAGCAAAGTTGATTGGACGGCGCAGTACAGAATAATGATCCAAAACACACTGCAAAAACAACCCAGGAGCTTTTGAAGGAAAAGAAGTGTTATATTCAATGCAATGGCCGAGTCAATCACCTGATCTCAACCCATTGAGCATGCATTTCACTTGCTGAAGGCAAAACTAAGGGCAGAAAGACCCACAAAAAAGAACTGAAGACAGCTGCAGTTAGAGCCTGACAAAGCATCAGAAAGGAGGAAACCCAGTCTTTGGTAATGTCCATGGGTTCCAGACTTCAGGCAGTCATTGCCAGTAAAAGATTCTCAACAAAATATTAAACATTTACATTTTATTTATGATTATATTCAATTGTCCAAATACTTTTGGTCCCTTAAAAAGGGGGGGATTGCTGTTCTTAAGAGCTGTAATTCCTAAACCCTTCCTCCAATTTGGATGTACATTTTCCCTCAAATTAAACCTGAGAGTGTGCACTTTCAGCTCATATCCATTATATAACTATAGCTTGAATATGTTTTGGTAAATACTTGAAAAATCTAAAATTGTGCCTGTGTCCAAATATATATGGACCTAACTGTATGTATTAGGGAATGTTGTAAAGATTGCTTGGGATGCATTAAAGCAGTAGGCAAAAAATATAATATATTGCAGCTTATCAAGTCTCAGATGTGATGGCTGACTCATTTTTCTGTTTATTTTCAGGTTTTTTTTCCATTATTTTTTTTACCTGGTGATCCTGAGAATAACACACTTCTTGTACTTAACCACTTGCCTACCAGGCACTTACTGTATACCCCCTTATTTACCAGGCCAATTTTCAGCTTTCAGCGCTGCCGCACTTTGATTGACAATTGCGCGGTCATGCAACATTGTACCCATATGAAATTTTGATAATTTTTTTCTCACAAATAGAGCTTTCTTTTGGTGGTATTTAATCGCCACTGGGCGCTTTACTTTTTGCGCTATAAATAAAAAATTGCCAAAAATTTGAAAAAAAAAAAAAAGTTTCTTTGTTTCTATTATAAAATTTTTCAAACAGGTAATTTTTCTCCTTCGCTGATGTGCGTTGATGAGGCAGCACTGATGGGCACTGATAGGCGGCACTGATGGGCACTGATAGGCAGCACTAAAGGGCACTGATAGGCAGTACTAATGAGGTGGCACGGATAGGCGGCACTGATAGACAGCACTAATGAGGTGTCACAGATAGGCGGCACTAATATGCAGCACTGATAGGCGGCACTGATAGGTGACACTGATGATGGGTACTGATAGACGGCACTGACTGGCATCACTGCTGGGCACTGACTGGCGGCACTGACTGGCACAACCGCTGGGCACTGACTGGTGGCACTGACTGGCAGCACTGCTGGGCTGCACTGGTGGGTGGCACTGGTGGGCAGCACTGGTGGGTGGGCACAGGTGGGTGGCACTGGTGGGCACAGGTGGGTGGCACAGGTGGGTGGCACTGGGGCACAGGTAGGTGGCACTTTTGGGCACAGGTGTGTGAAATTGCAGAGTGGCACAGGTGGGTGCACTGCTGGGCACAGGTCGGTGCACTGCTGGGCACAGGTGGGTGATCTGCTGGGCACAGGTGGGCGGAGCTAGTGGGCGCACTGCAGGGCACAGGTGGGCGGAACTTGCGGGTGGCACTGCTGGGCACCAATCATCAGTGCACTGATCATCAGTGCCCTGATGATCGGTGCCGATCCCCGCTCTGACAACTGCCGGTTCTCGGCAGTACTTTCCTCACGATCTGACAGCGTGAGGAAAGTGCAGCCGAGAACTGGCACTTGCATTTCCCTCTGATCAGCGTGTCATTGGACACCGCTGATCAGGTGGTAAAAGGCCGCTGTAATTGGCCTTTTACCACATCACGTGATCAGCTGTGACCGTAGGACACAGCGATCACGGAGGTCGCCGGGTGCGCGCCCCCTGGGGCGCGCAGGAGAGCGCGTTCTGGGGGGACGTCATATGACGTCCACTCAGAACTGGCCGGCCGCAGTGCAGCCGTCATTCGGCTGTCTGCGGTCGGCAACAAGTTAAGCTCACTCCTGCACTGTAACTACTGTATGTAAGGAGCCATGGTTGTCACCTAGGCCTTTAGAGTTCTTTTTCAATTTCCTTTACCAAACCAAGCTGTCCAGCAAAAATAGCAGTTCAGGGGTTGAGACAAACCATTGAATACTGACAGGGATGCTTATAACTGGTAACTGAAGTTCAGCTTCAATTTGTTAGGTAAATCCAACTAAATCTGCTAGTTCATCTAACACTACCCTCTCCCCAGACTGACAATGCTTCTACCCACAGGTGTCTCCATTGCTCCTCCAGTGGAGTGGGGACACCCTAAGACAGGAAGTGTGTAATTGGCCAGATCATCAGGTTAAAATAAAGGGGGAAAAAAGAAAGCTAATTTAGCCACCACAGCTAATGATTGGTAATTGCTACATATTTTTGGGATTAATACCGCTTTAAGTTAAAAGATGTAGTGTTTAAGGCCCCTTTCACACGGGTGTTATGTTTTTTTCATCAGTTCAGTCACATTTTTTCCAAGCAAAAACGGATCAGTTTACATCCGTTTTTCATCAGTTTTGTCATCCGTTTTTCATCAGTTTTGTCATCCGTTTACATCCTTTTTTCTGCCGTTTACATCTGTTTTTCATCCATTTTTCATCTGTTTTCCATCTGTTTTCGTCCATTTACATGCGGTTTCCATCTGTTTTAATTCGTTTACATCCGTTAAAGTCTGTTTACATCCATTTTTGTCTGTTCCGGGTTTTTTTTTTTTTTTTTTTTGTACGAAAGAAAAATAGGGTTTTCTTCCATTCAAAAAAAACGGATATTAAAGGATGTTAACAGATGATCATCCACTAGTCCATAGAAATACATGGGTGTCCGTTTTTCATCTGTAAACGGACATACAGAACACCCGTGTGAAAGAGGCCCAATACTACTTTATTCTGAGACTTGCATAACACTTTAATGACTATAAGGTTGACTCCACACTTGTACATGTGATAATGCATGTTGTGTGTTGAGGCAATATACAGGGTGCAGCAACATAACTTCCTTTTTTCAAAACGCAATAAAACCCATTTTATGAATCAGAATTGTTTTTATTGTCTTTAATAATGTAGGTACATATCTAAAGTTCTGTTTTACACAGTTTCACACATATCAGGTAGGTGACGCCCCCCCATTGTCCATACACTGAATAAGTGAATTCAGACCGGTATGTGAACATGTTGGAGGAATTTGTTTTTTGATGAATTGGACTTAGGGGACATTTGGTTCCAACAGGACGGAGCAACGGCTCACACTTCAAGAGCATCAATGGCTGTTTTAAGGGAACACTTCCCGGAGCGCCTCATCTCAATAAGGGGTGATTTGGAGTAGCCAGCCCGCTCCCCCGATTTGGCCCCTTGTGACTTTTTTTTTTTGTGGGTTTTTTTTTAAATCCCACGTTTATGTAAACCGTCCAAGGACCCTACAAGACCTGAAGGCCAACATCCGCGCAGAAATTGCCAACATACCCGCTGCTATGCTGGTAAGGGTCATGAAAAACGCCAGAAATCGGCTTATTCAGTGTATGGACAATGGGGGGCGTCACCTACCTGATATGATTTTCAAAACTGTGTAAAACAGAACTTTAGATATGTACCTACATTATTAAAGACAATATAAACAATTCTGATTCATAAAATGGGTTTTATTGCGTTTTGAAAAAAAGAAGTTATGTTGCTGCACCCTGTACTTGATATGTGTGCTACCATTCATTTTAAATGGCACCTCATTGCAAAGATAGAATAAAACCAAATGCACAATTACTATGGAGAGCACCATGACACAGGACAATATTGCAGTGTAGATCCAAATATAGTATATTTACAAGCCACTAAAAATGGATGAGCTGCCACAGCACTCTTCATTGCACGCATCTTGTATAAGGGCCCTTTGCATTACTGCATGTATACTTTCATACGCCCAGTAGGTGGCAGCAAATCACCATGCAGAAACCTTTAATGAAAATGTCATTTTCATAGGAACTTTGTCATGGCAGGCGAATGCTGGAGTCATGTCAGACCTCAGGTATTTAATAGTAACCGGTCACTGGACTGTGATGAGCCTCACAGAAATGTGCTGAACTAGTGAAAACGCTAGTTGTTATAGCTGAGCCCTGCCATGCACTCCACACTTGCGGTTTTCAGTCTCCCAAATCAGATTATGCCATTAAATATCTTATTCTGGTTCCCGAAAGTTCTGTCTGATCTAACTTACCAGAAATCCCAGCATGCTTGAACGCCTTTGGCGATTTTTATTTTTTTTTTTAATTAAAAAGGTTTTAGTTGTGTTGAGTTATAGAGCAATGAAAATCTGAAGCTTCTGTTAGATTGTGGTTGGTGTAGAAGCGGAGAAACTACTGCAGAATTCAGGCTCTGCCAGTTTAATCCAGGCATCAGCAAGTATGTAAAGTGAACCTGGATTGTGCTTTTGGTAGGATTACTATAAAAAAAAAAAAATGAGGCTCCTTCTTTAACCACTTCAAGTCTGGACACTTTTACCCCCTTCCAGTCCAGGCCAATTTTCAGCTTTCAGTGCTATCCCACTTTGACAATTGCACGGTCATGTTTATAACCAAAAATTATAATTTAAAAAATGTTTTTACATTTTTATTTTTTTTTATATTTTATGACATAAAGTTGAAAGTAAGAGACTGTCAAGGTCCTACCTTTTCCCAGAGGTTATGTTACTCCATGTGCTAGCATCCATCTTGGATTTCTGCTGAGCATGATGGGAATCTTTTATGCCTTCAGGTCTCTGAGGTCCATCCCCCAGAGGGGTGTGGCTGAGTACATATAAGCCTGGGATCTGCACATGCTCTTTGCACTTGTGTCTTGTGTCTTTGTCTTGCTACAGCTCTGTGTATACGCTCGTGACTCTTCTGGTATTCTGACTCGGCTTGTGACTAAGACCATTCTCTGTGTTTCCCTTTGATCTGACCTTCCGTTGCTGAACCCGGCCCGTGACCTGTGATTCTCTGTCTACTGTTCTGTACTGTTTTGTCCCGTTGTTATTGACCCGGCTTGTCTGACTACGCTATTGTCATTCTCACCAGCTACACGCCATTGGCGGCGGCCATTACCGCAGCTGGGTGTCTCGGGGGCCGCGACCTGGTCCCTGGTTGCGTCAAGTCCATCCCCACCATCAGGGGCCCTGGTGAAGGGCAGCCTGGGACTTAGACTCCGCGCCCTGAGGGACTTCAGTCTGTTGGTGGTGGTTGTCGTCAGCCAGTGCGTTACCCTGCCACTAGGCCTACCTGTCCGTTCCACAGCCCTGCCCTGACAGAGCTTAAATTGATATGCCTTATTTATTTATTTATTTCAGGTACTTATATAGCGCCGTCAATTTACACAGCGCTTTACATATATATTGTACATTCACATCAGTCCCTAACCCTCAAGGGGCGTACAATCTAAGGTCCCTAACTCACATTCATACATACACATACTAGGGCCAATTTAGACAGGAGCCAATTAACCTACCAGCATGTCTTTGGAGTGTGGGAGGAAACCGGAGTATACGGAGTAAACCCACGCAGGCACAGGGAGAACATGCAAACTCCAGACAGGTGGTGCCGTGGTTGGGATTCGAACCAACGACCCTAGTGCTGCCAGGCGGAAGTGCTAACCATTTAGCCACTGTATGCCAAGTCGCACCCTATTGTCCGCTATTAGAGCTGCCATATTGGTGCAGTTCTGACTTGGTTGGAGCCGCACCAATTTCTAAAGTAGAGCATGTACTACTTTTGGTGCGATTTACATAGACATCTGAGTCAGATGTCTTGCAAATTGCACCAGAAATCATCAAGTCACCCGACTTTGAAATTGTGCGACTTCACTAAGTCGCCCAATTTCAAAGTTGGGCTTGATGTGACCGGGGGGGGGGGGGGGGGGTACAGTTATCTCAGAAGATTCCCTGAAAAGTTTCTGCATGAAGCACATTAATTTTGCACAGCATCTTTAAATGTTTTATTGCGTTAATCGCATATCGTCTTCCTCCTGGACATCTGCATTACGTGGATGTGATATGGGTGTTTGTTATCAGGCAGGATACTGTTTTACCTATCCTGCTGCCACTGAGCTCTCCTGTGGATTAGACGGATTAACATTTTTCAGTTCTGGCATGCTCCTTGAAGAATGTCCTTTTGTAATTGTTAAAAGCTTTGCGCACTGACCTCTCGGCAGGCTTCTCAGAAGGTCAGGATGACTTAAAAAGTATCAAAATCTGTCCGCATCTGGTGCGAAAGTAAAAAAAAAAATTTTTTTTTTCATGATGTTGACTCACACTGGGGTTGTGTTCTACATCTGCAGCCTGAACGTGTATCATGTTCTCAAAGTCTGAGTAGATTGGTTTCCATGGACATTAAAGAGTAACTACTTTCGCTGAGAATAACATGTTTTCTTCTGGGTGACCTAAGTACCTTGCAGGGAAATAGCTGTGACTGCAGTGTCATGTGCAAAATGAATGTGAATGGGAGTGACTTTATAATCGTCAATCAGCTGCTGTACTTGCAGGGCTCTAATGAGGAAAGATGCATTGTCAGCATCGCTTTGGACGTGATTTCCCTTTGGGAGTATCTCAGCAAAAATGACATTTTTTGTTGCAGGGGATGCCCAAAATCTGACCTCTGTCTTATTTCAGATTTCTGTGGAAATCAGTAGGCCAATCACATAAGCAGGAAATTACATTTCTGGGGGGGCATACTGTATACCATCTGCGTACAGAACACCTCCAGG